CTGGGGGGGGGGCTATCTTCTTATTACTCTGCTTCTCAGAGAATAAAGGGCAAGAATGCATTAGGCTTTTCCTGAGCTGCTTCAGTAACGCAAGGAGCTTTGTATCTCCTGATATCACTTAAGTTACTTTTTGTTTTATCAATTAAAACTGTAATATCTCAACAGCTTTTGGGGGGTCAATACACAAGTCAATGAATTGACAGTTTGTCAGTACTCTCTTTTAAGACTGGCAACCACGTACGTTACCCACATGGACACAAAGAAGTTGAAATTAAGCAGACTGTCACTAGGAATGGAAAATCTCACCTCAGGCATGAAGAGGAACCACAGAAAGCTGTAACTAATATTTGGAGATGACCTTTGAATCTGTTGATTTATTTCTGGAGCAGCTGATGTTTATGTTGTATGTCATTGTATCATTAGAACTGATATGTATCTGTTCCATTTTTCATCATGTGGAAAGACCAATTAAAAAGAGCAGCCTGAAATGGTAGATTTAGCTTCTGACAGCAACATAGCAAGGAAGTAGTTACTAATCATGGGTACATCTTAAAATTAAATTAGGGAGCAACTTAATAGATTAAAACTCAGCTCATCCTTATATGCTGCCATTTGAGACTGTGTCTAATTATGTTTTCCTACTAGTTTTCCAGTGGTTTTTCATTTTCTCTTTTCATTAGAGACCTCTTGGTCAAAATCTTTTCTCAGTTATACTAGTGTAAATCTGGAATAAGTCTTTTACATTTAATTGAATTAGTCTTGATTTACTTTAGTGAGTTTGAGAACTGAGTATGACCCTTTTTCTTTAGCAGTAACTGAACTGTCCTTCTCAATTTTGAAACCACACTGAATCAAGCTTAGGTAGAAGAAAGGTCTTCAAAGTTTGAATAGACTAAGTTTTCTTATCAAGACAAGACATCCATTAAAGAGGACTGTGTTCTGCCTTCCTACTTTGTAGGAAGGTGCTGCACTGAAAGGGCTGGGATTTTAAATTACCTGCCAAACAAAATTTAACTCTGAATGCCTCAAAAGTAACCTGATCCTGCAATGGGAGAAAAAGGAACTGGTTGCTTTTATATTGTATCTTCCTAACAGTGATCACGGATGAAGACTTTGTGCTGTACCCACAGACAGCTGTGTGGTTTGTTGGTAACAAGATTCAGTGGTCCCCCAAGGTTTCTTTAGTGGCTGCTGCCCAACAGCACCATGAGTCCCAGCATAACGTCATGGCTGCGGCTGTTCTGTGGTCCCCAACACCGCTCCTCGGCAGCATGTTAGTAATTGAAAGGCAATCAAAATGGGGTATTATGGGGACAGAAAATCAAATGCAATGTTTATTTTCAGAAAAGTATTTATTTTCATAAAGAAGAGTTTATTTTCATAAAGTAAAATTGTTTAGCTTTTGAACTGTCAATGAAAATATAGGCTGTAACTTATCTTCATTATTTCTCCTCTCATTTTCCTGCAATGTTTCTATATAGGTTGCTATATCTTCTAGACCTCCCTCCAAGCAGATTGTAACTGTTGTCAGTAAAGAAAAAGAAATATATATTAGCATAGTTGGCAAGTAAAATTTTCAATAGGGAATAATCATTTTAGGGGAGCTTTTTCTGCTAACTGACTTTAAGAAGGAGTTTCCCTACTTTCCTGAAAACTGTTGCCTTTGACAGAATCTCAGCTTGGTCATCCAAAGTCTGAGCCTTCTCAGACATAAATTAGTTTGAAAATACAGCATTTTTAAAGCACTTTTCCTTCCCAGAGGCATCATAATCATACAGGAATTGTTTTATCTGCCCTAGAAAAGATCTATTTCTTTTCTCTGTTTGTTAGCTGGTTTTAAAACAGGCACCAAAGATCCTAATGAAAACTGGTTAGGACTTCTTAAGACCTTACTACCCAAAGGTTGTAAGTTTAAATGAAAAGGTTGCTTCTATTTGAACTATCAAAGTAAACTACTCAAGCAGAAATTATGGCACTTGAAATAGAAAGTCATTATTTTTGCAGTCCTGCATAAGCATGCCAGAATTTTCTCCTAAATAATTTTTAAAAGTACAGTTTCTGTTGACTCTATTACACGTTACCCCATGGAGTAGAGTACGTTAGCAAACTCCTATGCAGAACTAGGAAGGAAGAGCAGTGGACAGATCCTTTGGGGGGTGGTGGATCAGCAGTTCTTTACATGATAAAATTCACAGATCCATTGACCAACAGTTTTAGGCAGGAGCTATTTCATCCTCTTCATTGCTAGGACTAATGGTAATTATTTAGGTCTTTGAGAACAGCCATCACCCACAAATTTAGGAAGAGGGATTAATTCCTCTGACTTTGTTCCTGCTGAACTGTTTCTCCATTCCTGTAACAACTACACGGAGTGGATTTCAGTATGAGACCAAAATTACGGGGCATTGTTAAAGTTCTTTATTAACAATTTATTGCTGTACCCTTCATATTCTGAAAGTTTATTTTCTTGTTGTTGCTGTTACAGCGACGTCCAAGCAGGTGGCCAGCAATGAAATTCAGAAGAGGATCTGGACATCCTGCCTATGCTGAAGTGGAACCGGTTGGAGAAAAAGAAGGGTTCATTGTATCAGAGCAGTGCTAAAATTTCTAGGACAGAACACCAGTACTGGCCTACAGGTGTAAGACATTTACTTTGCCTCTCTTTAAAGAAAAGGAGCCCTAAGCTGCTGTAGCCTGATAGAAAGAAGATTTTGGATAAGCTTTGTCCAAGAAGAAAAACGATCTAAGATACCAGATTACCACTGCACAGTAGTTTTTGTTAGTGGACTGAGACACAATGGTTCATGCAGAATGCTTGTCAGTGGACACCTACGGTATCAGAACTATGGCACAAGTGCCATGTTATTGGCTTTAGGTATGGGGATGCACAGTAATCAAAAATATAATAAAGCTTTGGTGCACAAGGGTATTGCCCTTTCGTTCAAGCGTTCTTCTCTGGTATCTCAAAGACTGAGTGACAAATCTGTACCCTTTCAGTGCAAAGAGCACTGATCAGTGTTCACAGGTGATTGAGAAAATGATCTCAGTGCAAGTAGAGAAGAAAAAAAGGAATTTTCCAGTACTTCTATAAGTGGATGTGAAATACACTCACTTTTCAATTCTAAATTAACCTACCCACCTAACTGAGTGAGTCACAATGTATATGCTTTCCAGGAGCAGTACAATGTTTCTTGTACATTACTGATTACTATCCTTCTAAACAACTCATGATATACAAATTGGTAAGAAATGACAACAGAGAATTCTCACAATGTTGAAATTACTTTATTTCATGGGAGTTCACAATGAAATTGGTCTGATTTTCAGTTTCATTGTTCACTAAAAATTAATTATCAGGTTTGTTTCAAGGGATATCTTTCATTTCTGAGCAGTAGGCTGAACTAAAGGCAACAGATCCTTTTAGCTGCCAGAGATCTTATGGACCATTTCTTAGGCAATGTGATACGAAAAATAAGATTTTGAACAAATGGGTTTCTATCCTTTGCCATTTCATTGTGAGTCCTTACTGAGAAGCACCACAGACTTCAATGCACCCCTTCCAGAGATTCAGATGCAAGTGTTATTGAACCCTGCTGATTCATACAGTGATTTTGTTTAATGCACATAGTAGTTGCATAAATATATATAAAAATATATTTTTTTTTATAGCTAACACAAGGCGGGCTCTTGTGACTGTTAAGACTGCATTTTTGTCATCCAGACAAAGGAAATGGATTGCATTACTGCATATTTTCACTGAGTTGTAAAATAATCCTTAATATTAGAATATTTTTATGTTGTGTAGGGAAGGTGGTTCATGTAGTTGCAGTGCCATAACCCTTCTGCCTCTTGGAACCACTCTTTCTTTAATACCGACCCTTTCCCTCCCTGTTCAGGGAAAGACAAGACTATAAATTCACACCATCAAAAACTCCTTTTATGGAAGGCGTAATATACACTGAGACCCAGACCTTTCATGAGGAGTGGGAACCTAAATACTTTGATGATCTGGGCCTGAGCTATTCAAATATTAAATTCAGGTATTGTATGTATATTTCATTGTAGTCATTGACTATCAATTTTTTTACATACTGTACAAGGCACTTGAATCATTTTAAAGTGAGGTATACAACATTTGCAGTTTCGGATCTCAAGCAGTTAAAAAAGTTGTAGATACCACCTTAATAGCACAGTTATTTACACCTCTTGTTGATGCTTGTATGGTCTAAATTTGATTACTTAATGCTGTCTTAAAAAAAAACCAAACATGATTTTTACTTGGTATTTTGTTCAGTAAATAATACAATACTGTATTTTCTGTATTCCTTTATTTTGTGTAACACACTTTTATTTTCATCTGTTTTAAATCATCTAGCGTGAGATTGAAACTGTTCAAAACCTAACTAGTATTAATCTGAAGATACTAACAAACATGTTGTCTTGAAGCCTGGTGAAGAGCCTGTGGCAAGTATTCATTTCAATTTGTGTGGGTCTGCTGAGCCCTGTTTCTAATAGGCTGGGATTAAATTGCAGGCTGTTAATTCCGATAGCAATAACCAAATGTATGCACATATATATCTGGTGACACTCATTTTTATTAAATAAAAAGGTATCAGTGCACATCATTTAGGCACGTATTTGGTGTGCAGTACTTATCATTAGTTTTTCTAGGAATCTTGGAAGTAATCAGCTAGGGTTCATTGGCCAAATGAAGCAATTGTAGAGTTTCCATTTGAAGCATGCTGGAATGCTGTTTGAAATAATTTTTATTTCAGAGCACATCTTGGCAAATTATACTAAGAAATTTACAAAAATCTACACAGTATTGCAGTAAGTTCAAGGGACATTTTGTATAAGTAAAGATTTATATTATTATGGGTTTAAAAGTCTGCACTTAGGCCGATTCACTCATTCATGTTTTTATCCATGTATGTGATACATGTCATGCAATGGAGCTGACAGAATATTTGCAACATGATTAGACAAACACAACAATTTTAAAATTCAGTATTTTGATTACTTCTGTTTTAAGGCCCTCTTGCACAGCTGAAGGATGTTTGTTAGTATTTGCAAACTAACATAAATTTCATACTCCTTCTTAAAATAATAGCTTTTTTTTTTTTTTTACTCTTTGTCCAGCTCTCATAATTTGGTAGCAGATTTCACTGGTCTATGGGGAGCATCATAGTGTATTTCTTTTGATTTTTGCTATGATGTTATATGCTATGGATTATAACATGACGAGTTGCTGGGTTTATTTAATAAGACTGATAGGCATATGCTTATGTCTGATAAGAACTGATATCTGAAGAGAAAACCTCCTGCATACTAATGGATGTATAGTGTCTCATTGGTGTCTGCTTTGATATATTCTGTGGTATGTTCTATTTATCCCAGTAGGCAAAAGATAATTAAGTAATCTGTTGCTGTTTTGTATTTCCATCTGGTTTTCTAATTTTTTAATAAGTAAAATTGCCACATTAAAAATTATACAAATATTAATCCATAGGTGTGATGAAATATTGAAATTAGCTGAGAATCCTATTCTTATCATTTTATAAAGCACCAGGTTAATTGGTCCAGACTGCAAAAGTGTCATGTAGCCCCCTCTCAGAGATCCAGCTGAAATGTTATTCAACAATTCATAAAGAAATTTCCATCCCGGTTTCTGAAACAGTGGTTTCACTAGCATTCCCACTGGTCCTTCATTTGAAAGTAATTCAGAATATTTCATTTGTTTAAATGCTTACTTACAGTCATTTATTCTAACAGTTATTTTAACTCTTCAACTTTCCTGTAAATTTGTGTAATGCATGTAATGATTGCAAGATCTCCCAAAATTATCATTTCTTATTATTTTCCATTTTAGTGTTAAATGTTCCATAACATCTAACACTCTCAGTGCTGTGCTTCAACTCATCCTGTTTCACAGAAAAAAAGGAAAATTTGAACTACAAGGATTCAAAGCACATTACTAAGTAGCTCTTTAAATCTCAGTGAGATGAAACAACGAATCAGATAGATGTAGCACACACAGAGATTGTTGGGAAAAGATCCTTACACTTGCAAAAATTATATTCAGACATTAAGAAATTCTGGAACTACAGAAGAAGTGGAATTGTAATTTTACTCCTGTCCTGGTTTCAACAACTCCCATGTGCATACATATAATGTGGTCTTATTCATTTGCCTGCTATGTTTCTCAGTGCACCCTAAGATGCATTGGATGTAGAGAATGCAAGCATATTTTTCTCCTCCATGTTCAAATTTTGTTGCACTTTGTTACATACTATCCAAACCCTCCTCAGAAGACTTTTTTTTTTTTTTTCCCCATGGACTTTTCTTCTTTACCCATTATTGTTATACTTGAAGGAAGCATACACTTTGATTTGTGTTCTGAGCATACCTGTGAAGGGAGACAGCTTTCCAGAGAAGACCAATGTGAAACTGTTCTTCCTTTTCTTATAATTGCTTTCCTCATTTTCAACAGCTTCTTCTACAAATGACATAGACATCATGTAAGTAACAACCTCCTTCATTGCATCATTATAATTTGGCTTCATATCAACTTCATTTTCTATATAATGTGTGTGGTGGAATTCTGGGGAAGAACAATACATCACTGTATTTTGAAAAATTGTGGAAGCCAAATTAAATTTTCACAAGCTGAACAGAATATTGGACTTTGCAAACTTCACCATTTTTCTTTGGTCAACAGAGTTCAAACCATAAAACTCACTATACAAGTAACTGAGCCAGCTGAATAGTTGAGTCACTAGTTTGCCATCCAAATGTGGACAGCAATGGAAAAGGAAGTGGTGAGACAATTTGCCAGTGAGCAGGGAAGAGATTTTCTTTACAGAAGAGTAATAAGACTTCCAAGGAAAACATGAGAATATTTCTATATTCTATTAGATCACCTCTTGGATAAACAAAAGAAACTGTAAATGACAACATCCATCATTTTTCTATGTAGAGAATCTCTAAACAAAACTGTGCAAGCAGTTGTCATGAGCTGGCTGTATTTCACACAGTAGGTGGGTGACTAGAGCATGCAGAGTACCCCATGTTGGTTCATGTTCCAGCTCACAGACCATCAAAGCAAAATTTCACTTTGAGTGCATACAGTGGCTGAAGCAATGGCTATGTTACTTTTTTCTGACACCAGTAATGAAGCTTTGTATAAAGACAAGATTTGGCACCTACCTAGAAGGTATCTCAGCTGTGCAAAGTCATAGTGCCTAACAGTCATAGTATTGGCCATTAGGACAAGAACTGGAATAGAGCACAAATTCAGCTCAGATCAACGTTTTTGCTCTCGGGAAATTTACTGCTTCCAGTGAAGAGAAAGAATAGCAGCAAGCACTGTTGTCCAGAGTAAGATCATTGGTATCCTTCTATATGTGCGCCTTCTTGCAGAAAACTACTTGAAGCTTGAAGCCTAAAAAACTCCAGAATTAAATGCTACTGAGGGATAATGCAGCATTCACCTTAATTCTCACATTTTGGAGACTTCAGGAACTGACAGCTGCTACTGCTTTTCTTTATGGATGTAATGGTAAGTTGGGGTTGGGTGTTGTTTTGGGGGGGGGGGGGGAGGGGGAGGGGAAGGGAAAAAATGCAGGAGGCGTGGGCAGGGATGTCGGTATTCCCAGCTGTTCTAGAGGCAGGGCAAGAACCTTATGTACAGCCTTGAGAGCATCAGTACCATGTGCCAGTGGCACTGAGTCAAAACACATGAGGTCTTCCTTCATGTCAGCTCCATCATTTAAAAATCAGAAATGTCACAAAAACCACAAGCTTCTGTCTAAATCTGCAGGAGTCCATATTTCACCTCATGGCGGGTTTATGTCACTCCTTAGGGAAAAAAGCTTGAACCACAGGCAGCTTTTTGAGGTGGAACAATGTGCCAGTAGTGCT